GGTGGGTGGGGGGGGGGGGGACGGACGGACAATCAAACAATAATAATGAGTATTTTTGAAGTGTCAAATATCAGATAAAAGACCTTGCATGTTTAGCTGTTGCTCTTTTTAGTTCCTCTGCTATACATTAGACTCACCTAGTATACATATCTTCTTACTGAATGGAAAGTAAGACAAGCCAGATTCTTTTAAAAGCTGGATTTCTTATGCCACTAGAATCGTTATCAAACTACTGCTATAGCACAAGAATTTTTGAATATGCTTTCTCCAACTTAACCTCCTATTTATACCTTGAAAGTATTTATGCAGCATTCACTTCTGCATGAAGACAAGTGTTTTTTGTCCTGAGCAGACACCCATGAAATTCTAGAGGCTTATATCCAAGACTGTTTTCTGAATAGGTATGGAAAAAGAAACTATCTCCCTGAACTCCCTAAGAGAGAAAGTAATACTTCTCCAGGAAGCAGGTTGAGAGAGCGCGTATCTTCGCTGGGTTATTGAAAAAATATTTCCAACAAAAAATAAAGAAAACTACATTCCCACCATGCCATTCTCCTCCTTCCAGACATGTCCACAGGAAGGAAAAGCAGACAGAATGCAGGACCTTTAAACTCCTAGTAGGACAGAAAGAAAATCTTCAGCCTGCTTTGAGGTATACAAATGAATGCTACCTTCACTCCCCACTATCAGAATTGGTCTAGGAGATAGAAGGCAAAGCAACATGCTTTCCCCATAGGAAGAAAGGCCCAAAGAACAAGATCAAACCATTAACACGGGAAAAAAACAGTAGCAACACAAACACTGTCACACAGAAAGAAGATACTGCACATCGTGGCTGCGTTAATCAGGTCAAGTGAGACAGCAAGAAATGGCAAAGTCAGTTTTCAGAAGCATACAGGAAATAGGCTTATGCAATTAAATTCATATTACTCTAATCAAAAGGGATCTTGCCAAGCTGCTGCTGCTTTTGTTTTAAGACAACTTGAGGGAAAAAAAAGTATCTGGATAGAACATTGTTGGGAGCTTCCTAACTGAAGCTTCCAGTTTCCTGCAAAGGAAAGCTTTAATACCAGACACCATCGCAAAGTGTATCTTTTAAGCAAAAAATCTAAAGAGTTATCTCGGAGCACTCACGCATAACTGAAACTGAGAATATAGTGAGCCGGAACAGATCTAGCAAAAATTGAAAAGAAATAAAATATCTCCTCTCCTCCCTCCCCCCCCCACCTGAAAGAGGGCTAGAACTCCCTTACTAATGAAATATTCCTACAGCTGTGATACAGTCTCTTTAGGATACAAGCTAAAATCTGCTACCTTTCTGCAAGATGTTTTAAAGTGAGTAAGAAAAAAAAAAAAAATCTTAAAAAGCAAA